GTGCCTCATCAGACACGCATCCCACCTACCTATACAGGAGCGGTCGTCTATGTGTTATCAACCATTAAATTTTTTTATATTTCAACATTCTATACACATGTATTAAACGTCAACAATTTACTACAGGGAGGCCCTATATTATTTTTTGAAATATTTTTTTTTACATATTTTTTAAATTTTATTTGTTATTACAGCCATACTTGAGTAACTTTGATCACGTTTTTGTTTATTCTGGGTTTCTACTCTTTTCCATCACATTTATTTTTCGTATAAATGGGCAACTACTCTAATTGGCTTAACTAGTATTCAAAAGCCACTTGTAAAGTCCTGTTTGCAGTGCAATTTAATTTAAAATTAACCGCCTTGTACAAACAAGAATGAARTACTTTTCKTGTGTTTTACTAACGTTTGTGRCTATGTCATTAATCCAGCAATTTGTGTGCATGCCACTCGACGTTAGCGAGTACCTCGGCGGTTTGGCAGATATCAATGCGAACGTCGAACATTCGAATGTCGGTTCTCGAGTGCGACGTCAACATTATTCCCGTTCATATCCTGGTGGTTACATTGCTGGTGGGGTATATCAGATCCCTGGTGGCGTGGCGAGCTATGCGCAAAGCGCTCACAGAAGTCCGGCTCCTGGGGCTTTGAATTTTGATTATGACCAGGACTACTAAGCGAAAGCCGTATTTATTTCTTCAAATATCAGTATTCTTCTACCTACCTTAAATGGTGTATATATCTACACTTTGATTAAAATTTTGATACTAAATATACTATATACATATATAAAAATTAAAAAAATAAGCAAATGAAACAAGAATTTGTGTTGTTTATGTGTTCAGCAGCAGTAAGTATTTTGATGATTAATTACGTTTTAAGCAAGATCGGAAAAAAAAGCAAGCAGATGAATAAAAATATATGGGAACAAAATTACATTTAGAAATGGAGAAGTTATAAAGAATATGTAATAATATATAGTACTTATAGTGGGATAAGAAGCTTTTGAAATTAAACAAATATGTCAGAATAGCWTCCTAAGTTTACCTAGTGTCTTCTTAACTCCCTTACGACTCTCTGAACTTCTATATGACATTTGGCAGAGCGCAATCAATGAAATAGTTGGCTGAGGAAAGGWCTTTTTTGTGAACAGTTTCAGTGAAAGGAATCCGGTTGTGCTTATGCAGATACACATGTGTAGGAATCGAATGTTGTGAAAAATCTTTAAATTATTTAAACCATTTTATTACGCAAAACAATTTTAACTTGCATCCAACCTAGATATGTACCAGTTAGTTTTGGTTTTGCATTGTGAAGAAATTTTCAAAAGATTTCATTGGAAATTATATACTTTATATAAAAAGTAATAGAGAAGACGACTTTCATGTATCCACTACGGTAYTGACTAACTGACTCATAATTTGTTGTAGAAGTCTTAGTTTCGACATAATTATAGCTGACGCTTTACTGACAGCTTTCCTTTTATCAGAAATCTGACACAATCATTGCATTTCATAAAGCGGTCATTTAGGTGTTAGATACTGCTACCGCTATGTTTGAAGTTGTCGTAGCCCCTCATTATACATGAAGTTCCATAGTGGGGCTTTAGACCGAGGTTTGTGGTACTCCAGTCGAAATCAGACTACTTCTTAGTGCCTGCGTCCATATCAAAGAACAATCTACACTAACTATTTAAGTCATTATAATATGGGGCATAAGAGAACTCGTATTTCTCTCACATCTTTTTTATATTTKCCTATTTCGCTGAGTTGAACATATTCCTCAAATCCAAGGTAATTGGCGTGCAATATTTTTGTGTGTTACCTTTCCGTATTTTGCTACTTATTGCACATTTCGCAGTATCGACGACTTCTCTGAGCGCATCTATAATGGAGCTCATCTTCATAACGCCGTATTGTCTCTGTCTCTTATACACATCTAGATGTGTATAAGAGACAGCTTCACTTGTTCACAAATCTTTTCAAAATCAATATTGGTTTGAGTCATCGTGATTCTACTGTATATTTCCGAAAAATTATATATTTATAACATAACTTTAGGCGTAGACTTCACATCCGAAATTTCTTATTTTTGCTGAAGAGGTATATTCGCTAAGCATTATATTGGAAAAAGTTAATGCAAGCTGTACAAAATAATAAAAGATCTAATTCATCTTTATTTTTTACTATTTTTACTATTTAAAGTATTACATTGATTATTACACGAGGAATGCATACCCAAGTATTATATTTTCAATTGAATTAGAGGCAAGAGTAATAATGTTTTACATATAAAATACTAATTTTTTTTTTTTAATTTATAATGTTGTCCAGCTGTCGAAACTTTTTTCAAGTTTATCAAAAGTAGTAATSAAACAAGAAATGGTTTTTATAACAGATTTCATCTCATTACACAACATCTTTTCTTCCTATTAACCTGAATATCCTAGCAAATTTTAATGCTCTCTAGTGTCCAGATTAGAAATGTATTCATGAAAGTATTTAATGTGYTTTTGATTTTGTGAATATTGCATATTTTTTATTATGTTCAATTATCGGCTTGGGTGTATTAAAATTTATTTTTCCAATCATGATTATGATTTTTGCACCTTTTCGCTCACATGAACAACACGTTATCCAATTTCATTGGCTTCGTATCGAAAATATGCGAACAATAATGTGAAAAGTTATAAAATTTGAATAAATATCAATCGTGAAGATATCTACACTGACAGCTTACAAATGTCCTATGCTCCACAGAAAAAAGTTTGCTTGATTTTCAAAATTAATTTGTAATTCCTTAAAAAACAATGATGTCACCAATTTTCCTAGAAATCGGTATAATATACAATGGGAGTTGAAACGAAGGGTGAAACTTCTACGCAAAAATATTTTTAATAAAATAAAATATTGTTTTAAATACAGTTGGAGAAAACAAGTTGAAATATTTAATAATTGATTGTCCCCAAATTCCAAATGAATGAAATGTACATTACAAATAGATCTTACATCTCAATAGGCAAAATCATTGATTAATTATTTCCCTATACCATATGTATTTACTTTAAAAGTGCGTTTTACACYAAAAAAAAAMMTATAAGTCCAGAACTAAATGCATTTAATAAGAATAAGTTCGACAGCAATTGTGTAACCTTAAGTACAGTAGTAAGTAATTACCCTTAATATGTAGTATATGTAATAATTTTCATTYATAAAACCTAACTATTACTTTTTCATTTGAACCATTTTGAATAATTAAATACAATAGTCGCCTTGACACTTAACAAGTGGGGCCCTATCATAGTAAAACAAATTTTTTTGAAAACTTTGGTTTTTTTTTTTTTCATTTAACTAACGTAGAACCTTTCAATAGTGATATAGCAACCCTTTCATATTTTCGTATTACGTTTTGTCCTTTGTTTGTAAATTGGCTTTCGGCGTACACCTCTCCATTCGACGATAATTTGAGATCTGRTCGGGAAATAGTCGCCGGATAAAGAGAAAACGGTGGGTGCGAAAGCAACTCGAAGAGCAATTCTTAGACTTTTGCCATTGTTTTCACTGTCATGCGACACGGTGCGTTGTCTTGCACTTTTCTTGAAACAGCACTTTCTTTTTCTTTAAATGCGACCGTTTTTCGTCTATTTCGTCCTTCRAACAATCCAATAACGCTATGTTATAGTCGTTGTTGATGATCCTTTTATTTTCATTTTAGTCAATAAAAATTATTTCATGTCTATCTCAAAATACAGACGCCATAACATTCTCTGCCGACTGTTACGTTTTTCAATGCTTTGGVGCRGGTTCATCGTGTGCAGTTCACTCGGATGACTATCGATTGGACTTCGGASTGAAATGATGGAGCTATGTTTCATTCACTGTTAAATATCGTATATCCACACTGCTCCGAATCCGTATATTCATGAATGATATGGTATACTCGTATGATACATATCTTTGGCGTGATTTCTATCTCAAACAACTTCAATGTACAGTGATACAAAATTTTTTTGTGGACTTTTCTCATGTTTTCGTCGATAACATACTATTTTGGGCGTCCACTGCGTTCACCGTCTTCGCTGCTCATTTCACAACGTCTAAATTTAGCACATCAATCCTTGATGTTTAATATTTTGGTGTCAGTATCTTTGCTTAAACTATTTTTTTCTGCAAAAAGAATTGCGTGCGAAATTCCTTTTAACCCATTTTTCACAGCTGCGAAAGAATTTGTCTTAAAGACGGTCTCTAAGACGGTCGAGAGATCGTTGAAGATATGTCTCCTTCTGAACAGTCTTCGACCTCCTCAGTTGATAGAAATATTAAAAAGCTAAGGATATCTGTATGGTGCTTAGAAGTCGTCCAGAAAGTGTTGGAGAGATGCCAACTGAGCTCGACATCTCTCGCAAATCCGTTCGAATGACTTTGGTGGATATTTTAGGTATGAAATGCTTTCYTGCTCGACTCGTCCCGATAAAGCTGAATTTTTTTCAAAAATGCTATCGTCCAAAGTTCTCGTTGGAAACTAGGTTGTACGTATTCAGATGCCACATTCATGGAGAGCATTACAACTTCCAATGAGACGATCCAAAGCCATAAAACCCCTACCAAACCCGCTCAGAAGTCAAGGTGATACTAATTTTTTATTCGTTATTCGTGGTTTGGTGCATCATGAGTTTGTTCCASAGTGGCAGACAAATATTTGGCCGTATTGAGGCAATTGCATGAAAACATCCATCAAAAATGGTGTACACAAAATAAAATATATAGTAATTTACTGTTATAAATGCAAAACAAAATTTATAGCACTAAATTTATAATATTCTACATATAATACATAGTATCTTATAACGAGGAAACAGCAAAGCTCTTTTTTAATCAAAATAACAAAATAATTACAAAGAACATCAAAAATATCGCTTAATGTATTTACAACAACAATTTAAAACAAATACAATAATATAAAAACTTATGCACTACAACAGTTTGCACACTTATTAATATTTAACCTAACAGCCCCAGTATGCCAGCCAGRCCGCCCGCAGCTCCTGCTCCACCGGCGCCACCTGCACCGCCACCAGACAGCAATGGACGTAAACTGGCACCCAACGCCTGACCCAACTGATTGGCTAGTTGTGCCTGCGAGGCCGATCCCAATCCGCCTGCTGGATTTGTGCTGGACCCCGTAGATGCGCTTGGAGTAGTTGCACCAGTGCCACCATAAGAGCCATAGCTGGGACGTTGGTAGCCAGCATAAGGATTGTAACCACCGTAAATGGGATAATATGGACGCGGGCGGTATGCATATGGACCATAACCAGAAAATAAGCCCGGATAGCCTCCATAGAAGGGATAGCCGCCATAACCACCATAACCGCCATAACCACCATAGCCGSCACCGTAGATGGGATCGGACTGTAAAGCACCTCCGCCCGCCGCACCCAAACGTATTGGATCAAAGCCGATGGCGCTAGCAATTGGGCGAATGGCACCTAAACCACCAATTAATGGTCTGATCAGGCTTAAGGTTCGCCCTTGAGCAACGTCACTGTTSGCCGTGTTACGATCGCGGCTTCCACTGCGGAAGCCACTTCGGCGCGTCGACTGGCACGAAGCAACTACGAAGAAGCAAGCCATTAACAGGGCTTTGTTATACAGAAACATTTTTT